ATAAAAAAATAAACCGAAAACAAAACAAAATTTAAAAAAATTAGAAATGGGCAAAAACATCAAGACGATTGATTTTAATTTTGCTGGTGTAATTTTTATACCACGATCGGTGATATACCAACGACTGTTTTTCACACCTCAAAATTGAAATTCTTTGGATAATGTGAGCGTTTTGGTTGTAGAATAGATTCTTTCCCCGTTCAGTGGCACTTAAACGTATATTAAGTAACAAGGGATTAAAAGGAGTTTTTGTTCCTCAGAGAATGGTTTTTAATATTTTAATATTCTTAAGGGAACAAAAACTAGTTTAATCCAGTGTTGCTTATACTATTTTATCCAGTGTTGCTTATACTATTTTTTCCAATACCGACCGATTTAAATCCATTTGTCCATGAATTGTTCACAAAAAACAAAAATGAGGGTTTATTTTAATCCCTAGTGATTAAAATTATCTGTTAATGCACAAAAATTAAGGATTAAATTCAATAAAACCATGTAGGTATTGCAAAAATAGTATTCCAGTCAATTAATTGCAAACTGGACATTTTTCCGAAGCGTTCTAAGATGCGGGTGTACTGCAAACAGCTATGCACTTAGTATAAGTATCAAATGTGTTCAAAAATACAACTTCTCATAAGGAGATTTGAGTTGAAAGGGGGAAATCTTTTACTTCAAAATTTACACCACGAAGCAGGGTTGTGAACCCATCAATAATTTAAATTGAACGTTGGGTCGAGTGACACATCATTGGAAAGGGCTCTTAATTTTCTACACAGTTTGTTGTATTTACCTAAACCCTACAGTCAAGTGTATCTAAAGGACTAAAAACCATAGGCGTGTGGGAAATTAAAAGCCCTTTCCACTAATGTGTCATTCAATGCTACGTTCAATTTAAAATTATTGAAGGACTAAATTTTGAAGTAAGATGTCCCCCTTCCAACCAAAATCGACCTGTTTTTGCGTTTGTTTAAAAAACTATTCCCTTACGAGTTATTCAGTCTGTTTCGTTTTCGTTAGGCCACCCTGTAATAAAAATGTGCAGTATATACGTTGGAACTATAGTTATCAGTACTTTTTTTTAATGTTCACAACCTAGGCCACGTAGCCGAACTAAAAATTTAGCTCACGCAATTTTTACCTTTAAAAAACCTTGGCCTAATGCAGAATAGATGGAGTACGATCTTAATACTAATAATTCCAACACAAAAAAGAACTTCTTCTTGAATTTGGTTACGGACCATTAAGGGCGAAGTTCAGCACTGCGGCAATGCCACAGTCTGCTCTTCCACTTAACCCCATGTCTAGTACTAAGAATTTAACATGAAACTAAGACATTAATTTTATTTTCAGATTATTATTCAACCCGAAAATTCGCAACTTTGCCCCATTTAACCAACTTTTTTCTCTTAAGATAAGCGAGATCCCCATAGTGGCACTAAAAAAATGGACATAACGTGTACACATTTTTCTAATTAGAAACAAATAAGGAATTTATTAACGCAAAAAAATAGTATACACTCTATTTAAAAAAACAAACTTTGGTGTTGTGTCGGTATGGAGGACAGAAAACTACCCCCTTACTAGACGAGACTATTTTTGCATAACGTTTACTCTTTATACTTTCTTGATATTCACACAAATAACTGAGTTATAATGCAAAAACTTTTTTGGATTTTTGTACTTGCGCAGTTGCCACGTTCGCGTAAGTCATCCGCCAAAATTGACATCGTCGATCTATGCAGCTTTGAACAGTAACTAGAGAAGTGCAAACCGCATTACTCTATCTTTTTTAGCTTTCAAAATATCCCCAAAAACATCGAAAACACGCAATTTTGAACACCCTGTATCAGGGCGCAATTTTGGTGGGCCGCCCCGGGCACCAGCGGTAGCCACTCCGCCACTGACCCTACCACAATTAAAAACTTTCCCTTGAAATAAATAACTTCATACTCTCCAGACATACAAAATTACAGTTTCATCCAAGCAAGTTCCAACTTCCAAGCGATGCCTGTGCGTAAAAAAATTCTGCTAATGGTATGCAACGCCGACATTTTACATTAGCAAAACAATTTGAGAAAAAACGATTTGGTTTCTAAAGATCGCCCACTACCTAAACAAAAAAATTATGTAATAAATATAATAAACAATTTATTTCCGCCTTGTGCATTTGCAATTCAGTAGCTAGGTCTTCCATAATGAAGTCACAAAAAATGGTCTTGAGATATAATTCAGTGACGTGAAATTAATTATCTAGAAACAAGTACACAACTTTACCTATTACACTGATTCAATTATGTAACTTAGCTTCTGTTTACTTCACACCCGTAGGTAAATTAGAGATTATCCCATTACTAATTATTGTTTCATTAATTCACTTTTTTTTCTGTTGTGCCCTATAAAATAAACGTGCGCTAAGTTGTTCCCCCAAATCCAAATATCAAATCGAGACCCCCTAACACACTAACTTCTTCTCGTTTTGTGCTGATGTATGGCACGTTTTGTGTCTCCTTACTTCACATGAAAATTAGAGAATCTTAATTATTGCATCTAAATCATTCGAATTATTCATGCTAAAATTATTTTTCTGCCTCTTCTCAGAACGGAGGTCACATATTTGTGCGGTTTTTCATTAATTACGTGAGTACGACCATTTTGTCTTTTACCTTGTTAAGACCATTTACCCTCATATTTTTTGTGGTAGATTGGCCTAAGTTAAGGGCGGGTTATACAACTGGGTAATTTTTAGAGTTCCAGTACCGGTATGAAGAATGGGAAATCAATCCATCAAAATTCCAACTCTAAGGTGATGAAATGAGATTTGGAAAAAATTTATCAACAGGAAATCTTGGACCAACAACGAAGAATTGTAAAATTTTCCACACATTTCATAAGGAAATTACTTCACTCTAATATTCACTGAACTATTAGGGACCAATTTTGTGTGCGTGTAGTTACCAAAACGAAACGTGTGAGGAAAAAAATGCCCCTTCTGCCATTTCGTAATTTGTAGCACCTGTCCTTAAAAGAAAGCTGCGCCATTAGTTTACGTTTGGAAAGGAGCGGCGGAAAACCTAGGAAATAGTAAGCTAGAAGGGAATTAGCAATATAAGGTAATAATCGCAGATTAAAAATGCAATTCTAGTTCAGTTGTAAATAAAGTAAATTCGATTAGTCGTGTAATACGTGTGTATATTCGGGATGAGGTAAGTGAATTAATAAAATAAGAGCAAGGAGAGCGAGTTAAATACGTCTATCGTAACCGAATGTTGAATTACAAAAATATTATAATAGCACATAGTAAAATAAAGCGTTTAAAAGATCCTAATGGGGAACCAACACATATAAGTGAAAATAGTGAAAAGAAAGCTTTCGTTAAGCGACCAACGCGGTGCTAAATTTGCATGTTGTGCATTTTTCAAGTTAAACCGTCTACTACTAGAAGTTATGCCAAGAGCGAGCTATCATCTTCACCCAACCACTGTCTCGCTGCGGATGAAGATTTTCTCAACATTTTCAAGAAAAATGAGAGGCGCCGAAGCTAGGATTCTGTAACCGGTCCGTGTAGTTAGAGGCACAGTAAAGAAAAATCGATTAGCTTTTGACATTACATTTTACCTCTCTACACGGGAATTGGCCGTTAGCTCTAAGGTTTTTTTACATATGGCAGTCAACGTGAGGCAAAGATCCGGTAAACTATGAAAAAAGTACGTGCGCCAACCGTTACCGGGGTATTATCTGCAAATGTTAATAACTAACAGTAAATGAAGCCTTGGTTGCTGCCGCAAGGCGATGCCGCGAACAGTATACTCGCAAGCGGGCGTTTTATTTGCTTTCGGCGCCTGAATTAACGATGGGTCACCCTGTATGTGAATTTCATTCGTTGTTAACGTTCAATGTTGATTGTAAATTGGGATTAATCACAACTCCTATCATATCAATCGGATTCTAGGTCAATTTTGTGTTGTATCACAATTATTTAATTATGTTCGATTTTGCTTATTTTGTTTTGATAATTTGTACATTTAAACTACATGTTAAAATATTTAAACATTTGGAAATTATTTAAGTGGTATTTATGAAAGTTTATCTCCGGTTTGACTTTTCGAAGACGAGCATTATTTTGTTAAGGTGGGAGGAACGGCAGTGAAGGGAGGGAAAATAAGAGAAGGTGGTGGAAGAGGTGAATCGAGTTATTTGGGAAGCACGCTAAACTATGCCTTTCAAAATTCACCTTACCACATTTGGGTGGAACTTTTGTTAAATTCAAAAATTTTAAGTTTTGTTTCTGGTGTTTATTGTAAGAGGATAATATTTAATTGCAATTTTGCAAGTCTGTGTTAGTATTTAAGTTAAGTTTGGATCTTATTATTGTATTATGGTAGTTAACTATAAATGTATTATTTTTACTTCACCCGGCAATTTATGCAATATAAAAAATACCTATACCTATATTGTACAAAAAAAAACACAATTAAAACCATGGCTGCCACAAATTGAGCTCAAATTTAGTTTATTGCCCAATACCTACCATATGACACAAAATTCAGATTGAAAAAATTAATCAAACACACTAACTACGGTTGTGTATTCTCCAATCGTCCTATAAAAAGGTTGAAAAGAAATTTCACTATATAGGACGGAAGCTACATATAATGATTCCAGAAGTTGGGTAAAGTCTAGGCGCAATCAGTTGAAGTCTGTAAACCGTTAACGAAGTCCATCAATTGGCTCACCAAAATTAATACTAACTGCAGATTGAGAAACTCTTTTTGGTAAGTGATTTTAAAATATCCCCCAACCAAAAAAGCAAGTGTTTCAAAAGGTTATAAAAGGATTAGGTCCAATAAGATACATGGGTATAATTCAGCTAGTGTTAAAGGATTGTAATAAAAAGTATTTACAAGCAATCGAATTATTATATAGGTAGGTACTTTTTCGCTATTAACTAATGTTTTACTCAATTTCCATTTGTCAATGGTTCTGGCGTCCGACTTACTTACTTATTTACTTACTTAAAAGGAGAAAGGGTTGTTATTTTACACTCAAAATGAACTATTTTTCAAACAAGTAAAATAATATGCTTTTCATTGAATTTCCATCCACTTGTCTGAATTTCTCAATGGTTCTGGCGTCCGACTTTTACTTAAAAGGAGAAAGGGTTGTTATTTTACAGTCAAATGACTATTTTAAAGTAATAAATTAAACGTTTCTTACTGAACTTCCGTCTACTTGTGTCTGAATTTTTCAATGGTTCTGGTACCAGACCGATTACCTAAAAGGAGAAAGTCGTTATTTTACACTCAATAATGGACTATATTTTTGAAGCAAAAAATTACAGACTTCTCACCGAATTTCTGTCCATTTGTCTCAATTTTTCAATGGTTCTGGTCCCAGATCGTTTATCTAAAAGGAGAAAAGTCGTTATTTTACACTCAGAATGAACTATTTTTCAAACAAGTAAAATAATAGGCTTCTCATTGAATTTCATCCACTTGTCTGAATTTCTCAATGGTTCTGGCGTCCGACTTTTACTTAAAAGGAGAAAGGGTTGTTATTTTAGAGTCAAATGACTATTTTTCTAGCAAAAAATTACAAGCATCTCACCGAATTTCCGTCCACTTGTGTCTGAATTTTTCAATGGTTCTGATGTTACCAGACCTTTACCTAAAAAGAGAAAAAGTCGTTATTTTACACCCAATTGACCGCATTTTTCAAGCAAAAATTACAAGCTTCTCACCAAATTTCCGTCCATTTTTCAATGGTTCTGGTTCCGATTACCTAAAAAGAGAAAAGTCGTTATTTTACACTCAATGAACTATTTTTCAAACAAATAAAATAATATGCTTCTCACGGAATTTTCGTCCACTTGTCTGAACTTCTCTACAGTTCTGGTACCAGACCATTTACCTAAAATTTTTATTCAATGCCTAAAAGGAGAAAAATCACTTTCTCAATGGTTTTGGCGCACGCCTTTTACTTAAAAGGAGAAAGGGTTGTTATTTTACACTCAAATGACTCTTTTTCAAATCAGTACGACACGGTTTTACACATTTTAAAACATGAAATCTTTATTTAGTGGCGCTTTTCAGCGCGGCATTGCGTCGCGTCGTCGAGGTGAATTGGCAGCCCAAGTGAGAATCGACCTAATTCTCTTCAGAAGAGCATTGTTTCAGTTGTATGCAGCGTCGCTATGTAAGAATTTAAAAGCAGAATTTGCTGCTGCAGAGTGCCGTGGTTAATACCTACTCTGTCTTTTTTGGATCTTGTTCAACTTCCACCCCCACTTCCAAAGCATTTCATCACCACTAGATAAACTACTGGATGAAGCCATATTTCAAAACTAAAGCCAGAGGTCGTCTTCAAATCTGTGGTAAAGCTGAAGTGAATCCAGCAGTTTGTGCCCTCATAAATTTGACGCGCAGTTTATATAAAAATTCCACCTAAAAGTCGGCGTGCATTGCTTATGTGAGAATTGGCCTTTAATGTTAAAATTTTTGCCTGGAAATATTGCAATAGAGTTCCTGTGCATTACTCACAAATTGTTTGCCCCCTCTCAAACAATATGCCCAGATAGTCCTGCATGGGTGTTTTTATTTGGATTTTTTTTGCAGGTCAGTATTTAAAATAGTATATTGTTTTATAAGGAGTAAAAGTGTGACTTTTTGTGGCAAGTCTGAATGTTTGACGGCCGAACGTAGTGAGGCCGACAATTTCAGACGCGCCACAAAAAGTGCTTTTACTCCGAATAAAACATACAATTTTTTCCGCAAACGCTGTTCAAACGATAGAATTAAGGGAGTATTCCTAAAAAGATTGCAGCGCATCTGTTAAATGTTGAAAAATTTAAAACTAGATTGCTGTGGTTTGCGGTTGTTATGGTGAAAGAAAATTTTGACAATTCAACAAATTAATTATCGGGAACATTCAAAGCCCTTTTGAACTGTGCGTTTTTGGTAAGTACCCGAGTATCAAGTAGATAAAGTAGTAAAAGATATTGACCAATTTTTCTTGCAGGTTACATATTATGTCGGATTCCGAACTTAACTGTACGCCGCCAGACGTTCTTGCAATTGCCAAGACAGCTACGAACGATTTAATTCCAACGAAGTCAAGTAGAGTTTATAATCATGCTTATGAAAGATTTCTCACATGGTGCAATGAGAAAAACATTACAAACTATTCTGAAAATGTGCTACTAGCTTATTTTTGTGAATTGGCAACCAATCTAAAAATGAAGAGTTCAACAATGTGGTCTCAATATTCCATGATAAAAGCATTATTAAATCTTAAACATGGATTAGATATTAGCAAATATATGAAGCTACGTGCTTATTTGAAAAAGCAGAATGAAGGCTATACTCCCAAAAAATCAAAGGTATTCACAAAGGAACAGTTTGAAGATTTTTTAAACAATGCACCTGATGAGCAATATTTGGGGATTAAGGTTAGTTATAAAATACTTACCTAGGTATACCTGCATAAATACATTAAAGTTTTAAAATAATATATGCTATTTTCAGGTTGTTTTAGTAATAGGCGTATCAGGAGCATGTAGGTGCGATGAAATGGTGAATATGACAATAGACAATATAGAGGATTTAGGATCTGTTATTCATATAAAGATTCCTGATAGCAAAACTAAAAAGCCACGATCGTTTACAATTATTGGTGAAAAATACATAAATCTTTATAGAAAATATACTTCCTTGCGCCCCCCCGCTATGGAAAGCCGTCGATTTTTCTTGAAATTTCAAAACGGAAAATGTTATCGCATGGTCATGGGAATTCATACAATTAGTAATGTACCCAAAACAGTAGCAACTTTTTTAAAACTACCGGATTCAAAACTTTACACAGGCCATGCTTTAAGAAGAACTTCAGCTACATTGCTGGTGAATGGAGGAGCTGATATCACTTGTTTAAAGCGGCAGGGAGGTTGGAGGTCGAGCACTGTGGCTGAAGGATACCTAGAAGATTCTTTGTCTAATAAAAAAGAAACCGCGAAAAAGATCTTAATGCCAAATTCTTCGTCATTGGGCCTGAATGCAGCTTCCGATGAGCGAAATTCGGTGGACGTTGATTTAACAGATGTTGAAACGAGTAAGAAGTCAAAGGAAATGTTATTGGCTAACTCATTCAACTCTACACAAAATTCTATTGAATTAGAAGTCAATAAATCAGGAAGTGTGTTAAATTTGTGCGGTGCAACTCTAAATAATTGTAATTTCACAATTAATATGTAATTATCGCTAATAAATCTCCAAAGTTCAACTACCTGATGATATTTACTGTCTGTCATGTCACTTTTTTCTCCGGCCGTGAGCGTACAAAAAAGTACTTTTTTGTACGCTCACGGCCGGAGAAAAAGTGGAGTCTGTGAAATCAAACTTCAACATTAAGAACTGACATTAATAAAGTCGTCATTTTTTTACGTTTGCGGAAAAAAAATATTAGTTGACCCGAAAACATTTAAATATTTCGTTGGAATCTAATCAGGCCAGCTTTTAGCGAAGAAAAAGTTAAATGTATATTATTGTTTTCAAAAACTGTTCAGTCATCAAAAATATATTAGGGAATTGATTTTTGCGTAAAAGCATTCGAAATTTCTTCACTTTGTAAATAATATTAGATTCCGCCCCAAAATGTGCAATTTAACTTAATTCGTATGTCTGAGGGTTTCCGGGATCCCAAGGATCACCCTCAAATTTGGGACACTTACAGGCATACATCGCCCACTTTCATAAAATTGAAAGTGATCCATGCTACAGACTAGGAGTTTTTTTATAGTTCTATACATTATCCACTTTATATGTAGGTGTCATTAAAAAAGATCCACATTTTAGTTTAGATTATATAATTTACTCAATAACATTCATATTACAGCACTTAAGATAAAATATATAATTTTGTAAAAAAATTAATGAGACCTCTTATTACCTACAATTACTAGATGTGTAAATCTGCGAATCTAATAGCAAGCGAAAAAAAAAGAACATGCTTTAACTAGTTAAATAATTTTACTTGCAAATCATTCTGCTTCTGTTTTTGGTATTGTATTTACATTCGTGCCTTGCATCGGTTGCTCTTCGCTTGTTGCCTTTTTCTGGTATGTTTTTTGAACAGTTACTTTTGGCATGGTCGCATTCTGTTTATCAATGGAACTGGCAAATTGAGATTTTTGTTCGAGGGACTCTTTGGGTATATCCAAAATCGACCTGGTAGTTTTTAGTAAAATTGTATTCCCCTTCATTTCTATTTTGCCTTCGCGAGCCATCGCTTCAATTTCTGCTTTGGTCATCATTAACTTCTGCACCCTAACGGTTTTGTCACCGATTTTCATATCGACGTATTTCTTATTGGGCAAAGCGTTAACTGCCTGTTTTGTAAGCCCCAGGTTTTCCAGTGTCGTAAGTTGGGGCTGAGTAATTTGGTCAATGGGTGCCGTTTCTAAAGGATTCGGTTGAAGGATGGGTGGAAGCTTAGGTTTGAGAGACAAAGTTTTTCTAGCGTAGACTTTCGTTCCTTCCGTGCGTACCACCGGTTTAATCGTTTCAATTTCATCGTCCAGCTCCAACGGATCTTCACGCAGCTCTTCTTCTTCCAAATCGGAACCCAATTCATCTTTGAGAAATTGCGCATAATTTTTAATTTTTGTTTCTCTCTTCGATCTTCGTATAACCTCCGGATTGTCTGGATTGGTTATTGTAAATTCAGCAACCTCGCTATCGTCTTCTGACATGTAGTCTTCATTTTCATCGGACATGTTGGCGGAAGATTGTTGAACTTCAAGAGACACTTCTTTTTCGATTTGATCTTCGTATTCCATCTCGGCGTGTTTCAATTCATGTTCTTCTAACTGATCTTGGGTATCAAACGAATAGTCACATCTAAAATCAAACTTTTGTCATGATAATGTGGTCAGTTGCAAGGGTTTTTGGTAGAGGAGTCTACCACCACTGGACATTATACATGAAATTGCAGGCCTTATTTAGCAGTAAGCAAGCATAACTTAGGATTAATAGTAGGTGTAGACTCCAGGTGAAGAAGAAAAATTCCTACAATGCAACAAGAGATGTGGTGTGGGATTTTAATTTATTTTATGTACTTAATTTTAGGGTATTTTCACCTCAAAAATATCTTAGTACTAAATTTTGAAACACCCTGTATGTTCTGGTTTTTAGTCTTAATTTTCTTAAACTTACTATATCATAATAATTATGACTGAATGTTGTTGAATACTTTATATCTTTTTGGAGTTGTGGAAATTGGCTACACGTTTAGGTATTTTAACAAACTCATAATTAAAATAGTCTTAATAATATTAATGCAATAATAAACCAATACAAACAAAAACAATCACGAGAAAAAATATCTTGAAATGAACTTACTACCACGGTCTTTGTATCTAGACTGCGCTACTTGAAAAAAAAAGTGTAAGGTTATGTTATGATTTTTATTTCTTGTTTTGATTACGAGACTCCGAACAATTTCAATAGAAAGAATTCGAAACAACGTATGATGCAAAAAATTTTAGGGATCCTGCAGTACAGGTGCGTTGGAGTTGAGGAGTCAAAAAACGTGTATATTGAAAAAGCTGTTTTTCAGTTTTTGGCGTTTTTCTCGACATTTATCTATCAAAATGATGTTTTTTAATTGTATTGAAAATGTCTTGCACAATCGGCAAATTTTAGTTATTCCAGCATATCTTTGGAAGTAATCTAGCGATGTAAAATTTCTGGAAAAATAAAACTGAAAATTTTCCTGGATACGTTTCGATTTTTTTGAGAAATGTCTATTAGATTTGTTACTTCGTTACCTTTCCAACGACATCACACACACGTGGTATAAAGAAACATTTTTTCTTACTTATTACTTTTTTTGTTGTTTAGTTATTTTGTTATTTTTATAAATACTAAGCGAAAATTCAAAATTTTCAGTAGAAAAAGTGAATAAATAAATGCGCAAATGGTAATTTTAAATTATTATTTATTATTGCGAAGAAAACTTGAACTCAATATAAAATATAATAAATAGATATTATGATATTAATAATATATATAAAATATATTATAAAAATAAAAAACGAAAACAAATAAAATTTTATCTCTGTACAAACATAGAAAAATCAAAATCAACTCTTGAATAATTAAAAAAATTAAAAAATTCTATATATAGGTCCACAATAGGTACCTATATCTAATAGGGTTTTAACTTTAACTTTTAATCTCGCTTTTAATGTAGAAAAAATATCATCAAGTTCACCTCGAGGTAACATTTAACATTAACAAGTTTGAATGTTAATGTTAAATGTTACCTAACAAAAGAATCTTTTTGATAATGGAATAAAGATACCTTGTGAAACATCAATTTAATTTTAAAATTCTTATAGATACAAATTGACTCTGCCAAACCCAAACAGCTTAAGGGGCTATGGGGCAATTATTGCCTGCCAAATCAAAAACAGTGATCAAAAATTAAATTTTCACAGAGGGAGGGCACAAATAAATTCTGGTTGGCATTTGCCCACCTACGCCCTAGAGCCTTGACTATGTATACCTGAACCAATAACAATAATTGTATAAATACCCCCCATGGTTGAGGTACAATAGTAAGTGCAGGTTTATGTTTGTGCCTCAACCACTTTAAGTGAATGCATGTACTAATTTTACATAAATAAACTATAAGGGGCATTGCGATGGCTCAAAATTTGTGCCACTGCTATTTTAACCCTTTCTTACCAAACAATGTATAGCATCACTTCGCATAAGAGACTATTGCGGATTTGTTTCGGAATTATAAGCAAAGCTGTTGTAATTACGTGTATTGGCATTGTTACATGTACAAAATTTGCTGGTGATGATAGACTCCTCAATGATAGTTAGCCACTCCAAATGCGCCAGGAATATTATTTGCTATTCTTCAAAAAAAGAATTAGGTACACTCTACCTGTCACATGGATAAGGTAATCCAGATAAATGCGTCGTAATATGCTCCTTGACCATTTTGGCGCTTTCAAAACTGGTATTGCAAATGACACATTTCAGATTGACCATAGAATGAATCGCACTGTGATTGATTAACGAATCTTTACGTCTAAAACTCATGCTGCATACGTCACACTTGTGCTGACCAACAGGAAACGGATTCGCCGATTTGGCTGCATAATGGCTTCTCATATGCCTAGTCAGATGGTGGCTAAGTAAAAATGTACGTCCGCACAACTTGCACGGATAAGGTCGTAAACCGGCATGCGACGTAATATGTCGAGTCAGTTTAATCGGCGAAGTGAAACTGGCCTCGCAGTAATTACATTTGTGCGGTTTCTGATCGGCGTGGGTCAACTCGTGCCTCTCCAACCCTTGTTTAAAAACGAAACTTTTGTTACACAAGCGGCAAGCGAAAGGTCGCTTCTTCTTATGCTTTTCTGAGTGCATGTCCAAATCTTCTCTCGTTAAAAACGTGCGATCACAAAATGTGCACAAATACTTGGGAACATCAATGTGAATCTTCTCGTGGCGATGTAACAACGACTCACGCGAGAAGGTTTTATTACAAACAACACAGGAGAACGGTTTCAAGCTCGAATGTGTTAAAATATGTTTCCCCAAGTCGTACTTGGTGAAAAATTTGCGCCCACACTCGTCGCAACCGAAGCTACGTTCACGACGATGATTCTGAAGATGTATTTCAAGTAACTGCTTTAACGGAAATGACCGTTCACACTGTGGACAAGGAAATACGTCGGTCTCAACTTGTGGTACTTTCAAAATTGGGTTTATAGTATCATCGTCGTCTTCATTTTCAGAGAGATAATTTGAAGTGCTATTTTCACATTCCACATCTTCCACTATTTCTTCGAAATGACCCATTTCGTGGTCCTCTATGTCTTGCTCAGGTTTACAGTCCGACCTTTCTGGACTGTTCATTGCAACAATGCTAATTTCATTGTTTATTTCCATAGGAGACGAGTAGTTCAGAGTAACAATTTCAGGTGACTGCCTATTTTTCCCACTTTGTGCATTGTCGTTTAATAAGGGTCTTTTAGCTGGCCTCTCCGGTGTTGCGTTGCCAGTAAAGAACCGTTTAATACCACCGGAGGGTTTCACCAAGTTACCGGTCGCAACAAACAATTTTAGAGCGTCATCGGATTGTTTACATGTAGTTTTGAAGTTGTAAACTTGTTGCGTTAGGTCCTTGCAAATGCTACAGATAAGTTGAGGCATTCCATCATTGGAAAACACCTGCGAAATGGGCCGATTTAAGAGTTAGAATATAAAAAGCTGTAAGGTGTACCTCGATACCAATGCAAGCCATAATTTGCAAAGGTAAAGGAACCGATTGTTTTTGATCCCTCTCGTAAATATTACTCAATGCCTCATCTTCGGTTAGGCAGAACCTGCAGATTTTCATCTCACGCAGCATACACGCGCGTTTTTCCATGATTAGTTCAATTCGTAATTCTCATAACTTAAAATCTACAAAAACCACTTAAAATGGTGGTCGGCTTGGCTTGCTCGACGGTAGCTGTTTTAGTTCAAAATTTTTCCGATAGAGGTAAATCAATAAAAAGAAAAAATTCAACGAAACTGTAATTTAAAGGCAAAACTAATTCACATTTGCCTACAAAATTAACGGGATAGAAATCCTAAAAAATGTGAAACAACAAAACATTGAGTGAATATCATTTCTTTTCAATATTCTGTACCAGTCATAGGCGTACCATTAATTTTTATAAAAGGCGTACCCACATTTCGGCGAGAACAAAAGCGCCCTCTTTCTTCAATTTTCGTAGCATAAACACAAATGATACACGTAACAAATATAAAAAATATTTGTTAAAGCCATGGGTGAATAAAGTATAAGTATCCAAATGTACACAACACATTGAGACATGTATTTAAAATGTAAATGGCGAAATCGGTTTCGTACTAGTAATTTAAATTGCAGTAGGTATTGTTATACAATATACAGGGTGTTACATATAAGTATGTAAAAAAATTGGGCGGTAGAGGGGATCAAAACAAGCATTTTTTCCAAATAAAGCAAGAGTCCAACGCGTTTCTTTGGGAGCCACCTCAAAAAAAGTGAAATTTGCATTTCTTCTTTATTTTTGTCTCATCAATTATGAGACTGGTGGCGCGTCTTTGAATAGGTTTTCGGGTATGCCCTTCCCGATTGTGCAATTTTTTTTCAAGATTCAAACCACGAAAGGGCGCACTCTTAAATGGGAGTGCGAAAAAAAGTCTAATTTTGACGAAATCTGGTATCTGAACATGAAAATCGATAATTGGAAATAAGTTTTTGATAATTCGAAAAAACAAATTCCACTGCAATCCTTGGCCGGACAACGAAAATGGGAAAAATTCCAGGAAATCTGTTGTGTATATGTCGTAGCCACATTGTAAATTTCGCCGTTTTATAAAACGGCTAGCCCCTTTATAAAACGCGGCCACAGACAGCGGAGCTCACAGCAAAAAGAAGGAGAAGGTAGAGAAAGAAAGAAAGGGAGAAAGAAAGAAAGGAAGCGAGAGAGAGACTCGCTTCCTTTCTTTCTTTCTCCCTTTCTTTCTTTCTCTACCTTCTCCTTTTTTTTTGCTTAATGGTGTGAGCTCCGCTGTCGTTTTGCGTTTTATAAAGTGGCTAGCCGTTTTATAAAACGGCGAAATGTACAATGTGGCTACGACATATATACTTGATGAGTTAAGGCACACAATTGATGAACAGTTTTTTAAAATTACTTTTTAAACAAAAGCATTTGACGATTGGGCCTTCTCTCCATTTTCGTTGTACGGCCAAGAATTACCGTGAAATTTTTTTTCGAATTTTCCAAAACTTAACTTCAGATTTGTGAATTTCATGTGCAAAAACCTGCAGATACCAAATGTTTTCGAAATCAGATTTTTTTCGTGCGCCTTGTCTTGGTAAGAATTTTGAAAAAAATTTTGCAAAATCGGAAAGGACATATCCAAAAACCTATTCCAAGACGTGACATCAGCCTTTCTAACTCATATGGTTGCTGAGAAAAAATTAAAAAAGAAATATAAACTTCACTACTTTTTTGGAGGTGACTCCCAAACGAAACACTATGGGACCCTCGATTTATTTAGAAAAAGAACAAGTTTATATTACAATAGCCCAGTCAATTAATACAATACATTGTAGAGTGCCTGGAATATGTGAGCCTTTTTTGTCTTAGAGACTTAATTTAATTCTAATATCTCGGAAACAGTGAACCGAAAAATATCATTTTTGAAAAAGCGCATGGTGTTCAAAGATATCAAAAAATAATTTTCCTTATTTTTTATGGAAGCCTAATTGAATTTTTATGGCCCTCGATAGAGAAAAAAATTACAAAACCAGTGAAACTAAACACTTGGTATTTCACTTAGGAAAAATAGTCAAATAGACAAGTTCTTAGGTAGAAAAGAATAGTGCATAAATAAGAATTTGCTTAATCTAGATACGATAAAGATGACAATGCTCATGTATTATCTAGATTGACTCTGCGCCTGATCATGGTATAAATCCGAAATCGATCCCGAAACGAAAAATAAGAATGTAGGTACCTATTTAGTTAAAAAATTTCTTTGCATAAAAAAGGAAATTATTTTTAGATAAAAATCGAGATAGTTTTAATACTACGAATGCTCATATACCGGGGGTTGGGAAAATAGTTTAAAACAATTTTTCGCTTTATTTCATGAGATATCGAATATCCTCAACACACAACCGATATTTATTCATACACTTACGTAGAAGCAGAGACAACATATATTGTCTGTGGTAGAAGTAAATAAAGCCGTTTTTGTATAGAATTAAATGAAAGATAATAATTCTGATGTCGGATTCTCTGTTAAAACTTGAACATTTTTTCAAATTTTATACGAAACAATGAAAAATCCTGCTTTAAAACTACACCGTTTCCACTTAAATAACAGAAAATACAAAATGATTTTTAAAAAAATGAAAATGCAATATTATTTTGAGAAAATAAAAAATGATTTTAAGAACTTGTCATTTTGAATACGAGCATGCTGTTGATACCCAACAGTCGAGTCGACGTTGGGTGTCTACGGCACCCTCCTATTAAAATGGCATGTTCTGAAAATCATTTTGAATCTTCTGAAGAACATTCTGAATTTTCTGAAAATCATTTTGACATTTCTGAAAATCATTTCTTATTCTCTAAAAATCATTTTGTATTCAAATTTTTTTAGATTTTTCTAAATCTAAGATAAAAATGAGATAAAGGCGAGGATAAAGGTCTATATAGATCAGGCGTGGGCAACCTTTTTTTCCAAGGGGCCAAAATAACATTTTTTTATATGCGCCACGGGCCACACTTGAAAATCCAAAAAAATTAGTATGTTTAAAGAAATCAATATTTAAGTATCTATTTCTTTTTGGTCTTGATCTATTTTTTGCTTTCGTAAAAATCATTTAAAAAAAAATCAATAAGTACTCCTGAAAATTGACACGATTTTGCAAACAAAATTTACCAGATGTGGATAATAAATCCCCATATTAAGTTTGTATCCAAATTTTCATTTATGCTCTTAAGATTTTTAATCCCTAAAACACGTGTCGTTGTATTGCCCCACCCGGTATTATCGCGAGGAAAATTCTGGAAAATGCCTGGCGATATCTCTGAAACAATAAATGCATCTTTAACTAGGCTTTCAAACGTCTTGGAAGCTTCGGATCGCGTCCACTAGATGCTGCACGTGTAACATAATCATATTAATTAATTAATAAATTAGAATTTGAAACTTGTGGGCCCTATGAAGTATTAACTATGAATTATATTAGCGGGCCGGACAAAACTTATCGGCGGGCCGGATCTGGCCCGCGGGCCGTGGGTTGCCCACGCCTGATATAGATGAAAATAACGCGGTCGGTTATTTTTCAGTTTTTCTCTATAGTGAAAAAACAAAAGACGGTAGCTTATTTCTGGCAACGGTAATGGAATAAGCATGAAAAAAGAGGTCACGAGTTATTAAACCGTTTTCGTTTATCTGCGCTAACAAGAAAGTTGCCCATTTAATCCCATCGAAATTGGACCACGCTGCACTAAGAGGTTTTCCCTTTTCATTACATTCAATGATCAAGTGACATATGTCGTAAACATCAAATGCACTTACAGCACTTCAGCCGTTTGCTTTCCTGATTCCGATTGTAGATATAATAATAATTGCATTCTTCTTAATAAAAGTGCGAGAGATGTCTTCAAAGCGCCTATCTATAAAGCTCTGAAAATTACCCAAGAGTTCAGATAACCTCCAGAAAGGACTCTGGAAAGCGCCCAGAATGCTTCAGATACCCTTAATTGTACTATGAAACTAGTTTTAAAAGCTTTCGGGTGCCAGATCTTTCTTGGTTTTTTTCCCGAGCTATAAAGAAGTATATAAACGCATGTGGAAGGATCTAAATCTCCGAAAAGCTCTTTTGCTGAGGGCCTGTGAGAGTTGTCCGCTGCCGTGGAAATCGTCTAAGATCTTTCAGCACCTTTTGATAGGATTTCAGGGACATATGCACTATAGCTCCGTATCGTGGTAAGAATAATTTTGTTTTTGTGTTTTCCAAAAAAAAAAACGGGAAACAGAAAAGTCCTGTATTACTGCAAAGTTAGAAACAACTGACAATTTTCAAGACGTGCGGTTGCTCAGTTTTTCTCCAAATTTGTACCTATCCATTCTAGAATGCCCATAGTGGCCCCCCTCATCTCGGCCACAGTGTATACGGCAATCATTCATCCGTGGATAAGTTTTAGGTCTGTTCCATCATCCGGCAAAAACTTTATAATGCTTATACCGACAAAATTTTCTCTCATGTCATATTATACAGGGTGGTGACTTGCGGAACGCATCATAGGGATTTCAATGTAAAATTCATAACATGCGATTATTGGCTCCCCAAACTATTTTAGAGCAAACATGTATTAAGGTTTTTTGTAGAAAAAAATTATTTTCGTCAATCAATCAACCGTATTAGTTTTCAATTGTTTGCATAATAAACACGGAAAATTGGAAAAATAAAACCCCCATCTTTTTCAATCATCTGTGATGCCATGGAATTTTATAATACAAAAACTACGCCAATATCCGTCATGCCATGGAATGTCTGCTATAAAACAAATCAAATTCTATCAAAAAGTATTATATTTGGAACAGCGAATTCAACATAAAGAAAGACCAAATTACTAAAAACGGTTTCCTAATATAACAATAATAACAATAAATGTTCGAATAAGTCACCATTAACTGCAATACAGTAACCAAGTCGATCATAAAATCCATTTCGAACTGCTGCTAATTGATAACTGGATATCTTTTTGTTTTAGAAAATTCCATGGCATCGCAGATTATTGAAAAATATGCGAGTTTTATTTTTCCAATTTTCCGTCTTTATATAAAAAAAATGAAAACTACGGTTGATTGGCGTAAACAAATTTTTTCTACAAAAAACCTTAATACATTTTTGCTCTAACATAATTTGGGGAGCCAATAATCGCATGTTATGAATTTTACATTGAAATCCCTATGATGCGTTACGCAAGTCACCACCCTGTATACGAATCTATACGACAAACGACCAACCAATGTAATTATAGAATAATATTAGTAATAAATGGCCTTATAAAATTATTAACAACAATTCATAATCAAGCAAAAATATATACATTTGACACATTCACATGCATAGGTATATTAGGTAACTTGAATTCTGTGTTTAGGTGAATGACCGTTTCGATCAATTCCAAAATTACTTGGACAATAATTAATTCAGTGCGACACTATCCACCTACGGTACCCGAATAGGTACCTACCCAGTACCCTTGACGAAACTGAAGATATCCTGGGTCATTCAAAATAAGTAGTATCGTCATTTTTACCTACTGACAAAAAACAATCTTAGCCATTGGTACCAAAAAAACGAAAAAAATCGCGTTGCTCACTACAAAAGATTAACTGTACAAGTCTATGCAATGTGCAAGGTCAATCCGCATCTACTTTGTGAAACCGCGTTATAAGCCAAAGAACTACAAGAAGGTAGGTAGTTCTTCGATATGGCGCGAGTATTAAACTTGCTCATGCTACTCTTAACTGCGGGTAAGTTCGATCTCATTGTCTTTTTTTGGAAGATTTTGCATTGCAAAATACTCGCCCGTCTTTAGCTAATAATAAAAATTTCAAATTATGTAATAAGTGTCCAAAACATAAAGTATTGATGCGATTTATGGTAAATGGGAGAGTATGTAATGTGAAAGTTCTTTTGTTGCACCATCACTAAATGCCGAAGAATGCCCGCCTTAGGCATATTTAAATTAACAATGCACTTAATAATTTTCGATGCAATCCGCTTTGTGTGTGGCATTATTTTTTAATTAGAAAGGAAACGCAATTGTTGATTACGGATCTTTTAGGTACCGTTTTTGCGGCCCGTAACAAACAAAGTCGACCAGCAGAGAAGGATTTCGAGCAAGAATCGTCCGACCAGTGTCCAGAGCCTTATGGTTACTTTGCGGATGTAGAACAGTGCGATAAGTACTATGAGTGCAAAGACGGACAAATAACCGAAAAACTATGCCCCGATGGTATGGTTTTTAACGATTTTAGTACTCAAGACGAAAAATGCGATTTGCCATTTAATATCGATTGTACGACCAGGCCAAAACTACGTAAGATTCGCACTCTTTAATGCTTTCATAGTGTCATAATCAATTGTACAGAAACTCCGCAACCGTCCCAAAACTGTCCTAGAAAACATGGATATTTCGCCCATGAAGAGGCGAATGTGTGCGATAAATTTTATTACTGCACAGATGGAAAATTTAATTTAATTGTGTGCCCCGATGGATTAGTTTATAATGAAAAAGTTGGCATATGCTCGTGGCCAGATGAAGCTAAGAAGAAGGGATGTTCGTCTAGAGGTACGTTTAAATTAGTAGGTAATCGAAATGGCATATTTAAAAATACCGGCAAATGCTTAAACCTTGTGGGATACAAGTTATTGACAAGTTACAGTTGTAAAGACCTTGCTGGGTTTTGAATTTGTCGATCTGAACTCCTTCGCTGCCTTCCAGTACCTAACAACTAAAGTCGTTTGCCTTACTTAGGTGAAGAATTTAACAGTAAGGTGTGTCTAATTACCAGGTATACTGTTACCATAGTAGCAGGCGAACTTAAAAACTGAATCTTGCTAGACCAATGTTCTGAGGTCAATGCCAGAAACTCATTACCTTATTATATGTGCTACCTATAACCAAAGGCAATATCTTCCTCTAATTTACGACTCACGTAACGTACTTTATCCAACCGCAAAATCACGTTCATTGCGCATTCCATTTAAAAAAATTCCATACTTCGAATGCAAGGGGCGCACTATAAACATAATCAAATCAAATAACCTGCTGTTCAATCTTACATCCATCAATCCATTTTCAAAAGTACATATAGACTGAACTATGATTGAAAACTGACATGCATCATATTAATTTAGAAGGCCAATGCGTTTGATCGTTTTCTCGATTAAATTGTTGAATGGCAATTTAAAAATGTTGCTCTAACATAGATTTTAGACCAACTGATAACCTAGGCATCGAGACCCGCAACATTTTTATGTTTCTTGACGCAGAGTTATTGAATGAATTTGAAGATGCTCAGTGTTGTAGTTAAATTTGAACAAGATACGAAGAATCGCATACGCTTTTCAGTAGGGAAATTTTTTGTCACTCCGCTCATATTCGGAAACCAGACTTTTGATCCGGCTCATATTCAATAGCACTGATCCTTGAACTTTTTGAAATCGATTGGCGAAGGTTTGACATATCTGTCTCTTTTCGTTTTCGAGTTAAACGAGGAACACAGACAGACGTACAAAGCCATCACATAAGGGAAATTTTTTCTCTTTCGAAAAATTTCCCTAAAAGCCGAACCGGGCATTTGTACCCATAATACCATTTGTTTAATAGAATACCTTGTATATTTTTACAAATTTTGAAATATGAATTACAAAATGTATAGCCCGTAATTACTCCAAGGTAACTAGTAACGAAGCATGTAAATTACCATATCCTCTCTTCCTACAAAATGCGGAAAAAAGGAATACTTATTCATTTAAGAAAAATAACAAAAGCTAGAAAAAAGGAATGCCAACCAATAAGTTGCTCAATCCCTACAAAATTCGTGTTGATTTACTAATTTTGGTAAACATTGCGCTGAGAAATGAGTACATTTTTAATACTAAATTTTGAATCGATTGAGAACAACATGCTGATTCTATTTATTTTGTCTCTATTTTCAGTTAGTCTTGATAAAAACATTGTTTTTGGTGTTTTAAACGAGGGTAATGATTTTTAATCCAAAATTACATTGTACTTCAATACTTATACGTAAAAAATTTACAGGCTGTTCCATAAAAAAATATTACTTATTTTATCGAATACCTCCATCACCGGATGCCCAATTGTTTTTCTCATTTGACCATCCTCAGAAAAAACGCATCATATTATTTAACCAAGTTAACCAATTAATTATCAATTATTTATTCTCTTTAGCAGACATTTTTTGATTCTCCGCCATATAATAAGAAAAACCCCGTTCGAGATCATATTTTACTCCTTCAGTTTTTAAATAGCAGCGGACCTTTTAGTATGCCGCTATGGACAATGCGATTGGTGGTCACACGATGCTAGGTTCAAGTGCTTTTTTGTAATAACATTTGTTCGAGAGTAACGGAATGTTGCATTACGTCACAGTTAAAAAGCTTTTATTTTTATTACGCACATTTCTTATAATTGTCACGTTGCAAGTAACCTTTGCGGTTGGCATGTATTAGAATAATAATTCCTTCTGAAAATTTAAGCGCTAATTTCGTAGGAATCGCCTTTCGCGCACTTTCCTAAACTTTTACACGAAACTACAACGCGTTACAAACCAATTTTTTTAAAATTCAGATTTCTCTTCATCTTTAATCAGCCGTAGAGTACTAATCTAGTTTGTGGCTTTAGAAATTAAGAAGAAGAATTAATCATATTTTTCGCTTTTTACAGATGTATTTCAATTCGATTGTCCCAAGGTAAACGAGAGTGTTGGTTTGACCCACCCAAGGTACCCAGACCCTGAAGATTGTCAATATTTTTACGTTTGCATAGACGGAGTCACGCCTCGGCGTAACGGTTGCAAGCTGGGGCAGGCTTTTGATGAGAGAACTAGTAAATGCGATTGGGCAAGGAAAATACCCGAATGGTAATATTTCTACAATTTGCAAACGTTGGTCTATTATGGCCCTTTTTAGCGCCGACTGGTACAAAGATCGACTAACTGATGAACAATTGGATGCCTTAGAAAATCCACCGACACCAAGACCCAGACCAACTGGCCCAATTAATCGTCGAAAACCTGCTAGAAAGCCTGTAGTACATGAAGATGATTAGGATATAAGAATTGTGACTGAGTGTGCACTGTCGTATGTTCCTATGCGTAATTGGCAGTTTTTATTGTTAATGTAAGAATTACAAAATAAATATGTTGTTTAGTTACTTCTGGGAACATTCTCATCTTAAGATATGCCTAATTTGTCCTCTCATTACCAATTCTTCAATGGCAAACCTTATCGCATATGCACAGATCGTATTGTTCCGTACCCAAATTTCAGAATTGAAAGTGAAACTTACGATCTACCGGTTTCAAACCGCATTTTATTGTTTAACCTCTAAATTTACTAAGAAGTTTGGAAAGTATGGAATAATTACCGTTGACAGCACCTAAATTACGTAGAAGTGTTCTTTGTTTTAATTGCGTGTATGACCTTCCATTATGTTAGTGTATGGCATTATAAACCAGAGACGTTTAAACAGGTATTCAAGAGGAATCAGTCGCCAAGCCATTGAATAAAAATTTTTTCATTCGAAATCAAGTATCCAGGTAAAAATCGATACACTTCAGGAGTTACGACAATAATTCAATTCACTGATTGTTATGACTGTTATAAAGTGCACACTAACATCACTAATTTTTTTCATCACCTCCTGGATAGTTACGTATGCAAAAACCTTATTTGAAACATTTGAAAATGCACCATTTTTTGAATTTTTTATTATACCTGAATCACAATCTCTGTTTTAAACACTCAAATGCGTGCGAAAAAGGGCCTTTAAAACACACGTGCTTTAAAGTTGCTAAGTAACGATACTTCAAGTATGACTTTTGAAACTGTCATCTAGATGAAATAAAAACTCCTCTTAGGTCGCTTTCTGTAAATGCAGAACATTTCTTTGGCTTTTGTATCTATTCTTTGGTTGAAGCTTTCACAAACGCGCGTAATTTAGGGCATGCTTCCAAATCGGTTCCACTTTTTAATCGCAGCATTTCTTTAAAGTTTTGAATGAATGCACCAAAATATAGAAGATTTAAATACCTTTGACATTTCTTTCATATATGCCAGCATTATGGATGCATTTAAGACTGTATTCGTAAGTAACTTCCTATTCATCCACTTTATAATAGGCTTTACAGGAGTTGGATTTTACACCTACCAACGTTTGTTTAGATTTTACAACAATCGATTTAATGGGCGGTGTATTATCTTTTTCAACGGAAATCGTTTTATTCACAAAGACGACGATTTTTATAAGCAAACGTCAAGTGACATTTCCATGGCAATCGTGAAATTACGAACACCCAGCCCACTTAATTAGACATGTATTCGAGTATAACGTCAATATGACTTCATTGTATTTCCTATTCTTAAATTATACTGCAGGTATAATAAAAAATACTATAAGATACACGTGTATAATTAGTCTTTAAAGCACTTGCAACGTTAAAGGCACTCCGCTTTGCGTCGTGCCCTTAAACTCGTTGTGCGTGCTTTAAAGACTTGATTATACACTTGTATCTTAATATACTATTATGAGGAAACCTTGACTAAAATAGTAAATAATAATTTTTAAGATTTTGAATTCTCTGTTACTATTGCAAATATTAATACGTAATTGTAATACTTTGCTCGCCAAAGACTAAGTAAAAAAAGTAAAAGATTTAGGAAAAAAGCAAAGAATGACTTAAAAACTTAAAGAAGCACAGCAAAAAATATTACTGTACCGAGCTCTTCAGATGAAGACCAACTACAAATTTTAAGTGGCAGTAAATCAGTCACCTTTGAGGATTATGCAAAAAGATTAAAAGGAAGATGAAAAAGCGTTAAAAGATGAAAGTTTAGAAAACCTTAAAGTTGGAAGCTGAGTTCTGGTCTGATTTAAAGGAAAGAAGAGAATACTTTTGTTGTGTCGGTCAAATAACAGCACTTGATAAAGAATTGCAATCTACCATTATGTTTTTAAAAAACCATACCAAAACTCGCATAATTCCGAATTATTTTTAAGGTAAACTGGAGAAGTAACTTTTCCAGCATCCTTTACCTCATACTCATATAACGTACTACTATACTTACTTACTTACTACGAGTATAAGAACCTTTGATTAAAATTTCAAAAAAATATCTCTATGAATGAGAAAGTTCACATTGCACAGTTTGCGCATGCGAACATCTGATTTTTATAATATGCGATATGCTTGTCTTTACTAGAAGCATTTGTGTTTAAAATTCAAAAAAACATCTTAAATAACGAACTAATTATCTTGAAATCTTTAGTAGTTAAGGCCTCGAACGGACGGAGGCCCGGGCGGAGAAAGTGGCCATAATAAGTTGAAAAATGCGTTAAAATACATTTCATGTTTTCTTTTGCTCAAATACCTACATAATAAATAATATGTATACTTTTCTAACAAACATATTTAAGTTTTATTCCCTATAAATTTCCCCACAAAAAAGTTTATAACTATCAAGCTTTTTTTTGTTAAACCAGGATTTTTCATATTATATCACACTTGCCCTAGATTAATAGGTACTTATTCACAGAAGACATGCTTTTTCCTAATTAAAATAAATAAATCTTTTGGCTTTCATGTTATATAAATTATCATTTTTATCACACTTATCCCACTGCGCCCTACTGCCATTAAACGGCATGATTACACTGACTTCGACTAACTTTTGGGAAAGTAAAGTCAGTGTGAGGAATCCTGGAGTCTCGGTCATCGAGATATAATACCAAAGAAGGGAGGAGGGGCACAATTTTAAATTTATCCATTCATGAGCCATTCTTTCCGAATGTTTGTACGTAAGGGTTATCCCCGTTTCAGCTGAAATATTTTAAATTTTATACAACTCCAACTCTTCGATACTGGAAATGGCATATTCTAGTTTTTATTGAGTTTTTACCGACGCAAAAAAAATAAGTAGGAGGCAAATGTTAAATGTAAAAAAAAACATACCTACCCCAAAACATTTTTTTACTGTCGTTAAAAGAAATGTGCGAATTTCTTGACCAAACACCTTCCTAGCTCAAACCAAAAATCGCGTTTTTGGAAGTATCTTAAAAAAATATATCTTTCGATGTAAAATAAGAATATTTAATAAAAAGTGTAGGTTTCTATGTAAAAAAATTAAGTTGCCCCTAGACTTGACTCTTAAGGTACAGTGTGAAAATGTGCATAGCGTCATTAAATGGGCCTCTCTCTATGAAGAATATTTTATATAAATCATATTTAGCGCATTCGCTATTGTCCGCACTTTGGCCGTATGTATCACTACTAATCCTCCACTTTAAGCTTTTTCGTTGTGGTTTCTTTCTTATACGGTGTAGTACAGCCCAGATACCAGAACGACAAAAGTTTATTTGAATTGGTCACTTCTTTCCTCGCTTCTTTCCCGAGTTATTACTGATTCTGTGGGGGGAAAATGCGCTTTCGACGAATCGCGAGTGATCACGTTTTTAACTTGTTTTATATTCCCGCTCGTTTCCGCAATTGACTGTCTCAAGGTAAATGGGATCCCTGCATATAAATTAATTAACTGACATTCAAATATAACAGTTCAAAACGGGTAATCGTACATATCTCGGGTCCCACGTTGTTTCGACTGTTTAAACTTGACTATTTTTTTCTCAGTTTTTTTTGTAATAAAACATGGCACAATTTTTGTAAGTTGCACATAGAAAAATAAGGTCTTTCGAATATCTTAATAAAAATTTTAGGTTGGTACTTAAATCTGCCCGTTATTTTTCGTTTTCGTATTAATATACATATCCAAAATTTGAACAAAATCCGTCGAGCCGTTATCTCGGAAAATAGCCAACGTCGTACATACAGACGAACAAAAATTTTATTCTTTAAAAGTTGCTTAAAATGATCTTTAACATCGACATTTCAACATGTCCAAAAAGCAGTGATCACAATACCCCCCTAGCTCGAGCTAGGAAGCTAATAAATTTCTTCTTTCTCGCACAATAATCTGTGTGGATTGGTTAATGTTGACAAATTAATTAATAAAGACACCAAACCTTCCCTATACTTGTATGGTTTGGTGTCTTTATTAATTAATTTGACTACAATTCAGTAATCACCCCATTTTGAATTAAAATCACAAGATGGATATCTCCATTTCACACTTAATCGCGTGTTTGTTTATTAGACGATTCTGCTGAACGAAAACCAACTACTAATTAAAAAGTGTTACAATAGCTGCACAAATTTTCATTCTGTTCCGCTTTCTACAAAACCCGTTCATTTTAGATTTCGATACAAGGATATAATTGCGCTTATTATTCAGTGTATAAAATTCAGTTTTGAAAAAAAAGAAAAGGGCTCTCTAGTTACAAAATTAAGTTTTTGCACTTGCAAAACTGTGAACTTTGAGCAGCTGAGCACCTTGCATACATTTTTCTGTATAGTTTCGTTACCTACGTAACAAGTAATATGAAGGTCTTATTTACGTTAAATTTCGTTTGGTTTATAAAAGGCATCAATTCATTTTGGGAAGGAATATTCTATTTTCCAAAAATTTGACCAAAAATCAGATAATTTAAAACCCAGCGTATGCTGATATATCAAATTTATTCAAAATGTACTGTAGATTAAACATAATTAATAAAGACTGGAGCATCTGTTTAAAATATCTAAGTGATGGTTAAGTTCTGATAAAACCGATAACAATGAAATGTATCTTATATCAAATGTTTTATTATTTATTGTATAACCCTTGTATAAATTTTAGAAATATATTCGCGTTAGTTTCCAAAATAATAATGGATTAACTTGTTTCTCTTCTTTTGGAAAATAACGCTGAAAGTATCACACTGTATGTATATTGGGTAGGTAATAACATTAAACATGGAAAATATGGGGGGATTAGGTATCTTTCATAAACCACATAAGTTACTTAAAAACCTAAGCTTAAAAGTTCCCCTAAAACGTTGGAATTTGAAAATTAACACAAACGAATAAGAAATGACCGATAACTGGAAATTTCCCCCAGAATGCTATCTGGGGCGACTTTGAATGTCGTTGACGTATCCTCCATCTGTCAACCCAAATTCAAGAAAAATAGATCTAGATAATCGATTTAGATTTATAACCTGAAATTTTAAAATTGCGACAACGAACATAAACTTTAAATCCTTGAATGTTGCTACTTGTG